GGGTTTTAGGACGGCCCCCATATGGATGATATAGGAGTATGGAGGGTCATTATGAATTATTGGGACGCTGTAGGGTCTTAGGATTTTGGGTTTAGGTCAGGATTCAGGTGGTTGAGTTTCAGGCTTGGGTTTATGGGGCTCGGGTTTTGGGTCTAGGGTAGGAGTAATGTCACGGATGGAATGAGAGGACTCTTGCAGGTGGGTAGTTACAAAAGAAGTACCGTCCCATAAGGCGCAAATTTTCAATGTAGCTCCTAAAGGGGTAATGGGTCTATGGGTCTAAAAAGGCATATCCGCCCGTTAGCTCTACACCATACACCTTGAAATATTCTGGATAGCTGGGGTGGTCCCAGAATTGGCGGTAGAGACATGTCGTAGTGTTCCAAAATGGGGCACCTTAATATAGACCCCCGAAGACCATACTCCTTCTTATAGAGACCCCCAAAACAGGTACCCCTCATTTTGGGAAACCCCAATGTCGGGATATGACCAGAACATGGCAGCCCCCTTGAAGATTCTGCGGGGACTGGTTTCAGAATCAAGTTGGACTTCCAAAACTTACCAAAGAGCCAATACCCTCAAACCCAAACGCCTAACCCCCGAAACCCAAGACTCTGTACACCCCCCGAAAACCCAAATCGTGTGGCTCCTTCAGCTGCTGGTGCCAGGGTCCCCTTCCGAAGAGCCGCTGCAGCCTAACACACTTGGATGGCAAAATCTACCGTGGATGGAGAAGATCTTCCACCACCTAGACTGCCGGAATTACTGCATGTTCATGCTGTTCCTCAGTACGCGGTATATCAACAGGTGCAAGATTTCGGGACCCCAAAAAACTATGCAGCAACTTCCAGGCTAAGTTGAGGGCTGGGATGAGACATACCGCTTCGGCCCATGCCAGAAGAACAAGGGCTCCTTCACAAAGTGTTCTCCACTCATATGGATGCTTGCACATACATGTTATGGCAGTTTCGTCCTTCGTTTGCGCTGCCAGCATGTTGTTCAGCTGTTTCTCCAGCAGCGATGCCTTCGAGACAGCAGCGGTGCGACATTGTGGTGCTCTTCCTACACTGCAATTGTCCACCTCTGACAGCAGGATGGGATTGAGCTCGCTTCCCGCTGTGGCAGCCGCAGCATGACGAACTGCTGCCAAAGCCGTGTCGATAAGCAGTCCTCCCATAACAGCAAAATCGTTCAGGCTTTGGCTTGGAGCATGCTTGTTTTCCTAAAGACTCATCGATAAAGGTGTAGATCTCCAACGGGCCAACATCCTTGCACCCAACCCCTCTCCATCGCTGTGGACAAGATTGCAGACAACAAGATGTTAAGTCAGCCACACGGGTTGCTAGTCGTTGGCTCTCATCCGCTGTGATCTGGCTTTCCAGCCTGTCAGGTCGCAAAGCAGCTAAACGAGGGGTTCAAAAAATGGATCTTTTTGGGGGTCCGGCAAGCTAAGGGGGATGCACAGATTGCTGGGATACATAAGGAGCACTCCAATTCTTTCTAAATTTCGAACACCCAACTGACCTACTTGAATGCTCAGAAGCATGAGCCAGCTCTTGCATGCGAGAAATCACCATATATCAAACGGATGACTTCCTGTGAAAGTGTCTGTGCAGAGAAATCCGCGGTTGATGCGAATGCCGAGCTCTGCATGCTCTGCCAAGCTTGCTAACATGGAAATGAAGGGGGGACGCTTAAGGTGCACAAAGACAAGTGGGGATGATCAAAAGACTGTGTGTGGGGGTTTCTATTAACCGGCCTCTGTACATCTTCCAATCCCTCAAGCGCCGCTGCCGCTGCAAATGCGGCTACGTCGGGTGGAGGCCTGAATTATATCCCGTCAGCATTTTTGTGAGCAACCCGGCGGAGCAAGACATACTTTGGAAACTTTTGAAGGAAGCTGCATGACGGACCTACAGTTACCGCTATTCCAAGTCTTGCTGCCGTGTGATGGAAGAAATCAGCAAGCCGCTGTATCTTGGCTCTTCGTCTGAAAGGCCAATATTCTCATTCCTCTACAATCATCTACCATTGCCAGGAAACAACTGTAGCGGAAACCTTTCGCGATCAGTACAAGCCGCTAAGCATTGGCAATTCCTGATGGCAGTGCCAGAAGCAAGTAACTATAACTAGTAACAATTCCATAGCGGTACCCATAGGAGGGCGGGACGGAAAGGGGGGCAGCGACTAAGTGCATACCCGGAATCTCTGCATAAACTTTGCAAGTGGACTTGCGCGAAGTCAATGAAGCTCCGTATTTTCAGGTGGGAAACACGCCTGCAGCCTGCATGCCTGAGCACGTGCACTTACTAATTATACCGTATTTCCTCAACACGCCCTCGAATTCCCCGTGGAGCGCTTGCCAGTCTCATGCTATTTTCACATACGTTTGCAGACTCATGGCTTTGAGCATCCGCGAAGGCATGCCGAGATTCGCGCTTTTCGACTGGCTCGCCTCTGGTCACCTCACGGGCAGGAAATGGGAGCTTCTCAAAAAGTTGGACATGAGCTTTCGAATCCATAGGTTAGGAAATGTAATTCTCTAGCAGGCTATGTTACAATGTAAACAGAACCCTACTATCGAGGAATGCCTATATCTCTTGCGCAGCTTGAAGTAAAAGCATCGGCCCGGTGAACCCCAGCTTCAATCCTGCCTACGCGTAGCTTGCCCATGGCACGCTACAAACATCTCCAGAAGTGCAGCTTCAAGCGATCTCTTACATCCGGGACCCTTACTTCTGCTTATGAAATCTTAAGGTGGCAATGGCTTCAAAGGGACGTTTGGAGCTTTTGTCAAAATTCTGGATTCCTGTATGGTAATGATTCTTGTTTTTAACGTTCATTTGCCCTTGTCCCGGGGTATATAGCGGGACCTCTGCAAACTGAGACAATCCGAAATGCTTGAACTGCCCAGGATGTCGACAGCAATGCCTAGACCTGCAACCCCATAAATCCTCAACCGAAAATTCATTGGGGTATATTAAGGCCTCCAATTATGGAATCTCCTTGTTGTCCAAAACTATTTCGGTTTGGGGCGGGGCTGAGAGTTTGCGGTCCATAGTTTCAGGTCAAGTACTGCCCCCACCCTGTACAAGTCTACAGGGGCTACAAATAACTATGTGAACTACAGTCTAAACTCCTAGTATGCCCCTTCATAAGCCCTGTAGTAGTCCCCTATATCATCCCTTATATACCCCCTCTAAGGAGTTTAGATTATGACTCATATGTTCTAAATCTTATCCAGCTGTTCCAGAGTGGGGGCAGCAGCCAAGTTTCAGGTTCTTTGCAGCCAAATGGCAACGAATGGAAGGATGATTACCAGCAAGGCCAGCGCAGGCCACTGGTGTCGGGACATCGCAGATGGTCCGTGGACTTTCCTGCCCTTCATGTGGGGAGATGTCACAATTGGCGTGCCATGATTTATCCCGAGATGTTGCAGATCGCAGCACGTTGTTATTATATGTGCTTGGATATTGTGGCTCGCATCATGACCACGTTCTCGAACAGAGGTGCTTTTACATACTATATAGACGTACACATGGTGCTTCCTCCTGGCACAACCCGCACTGCGCGCGACTGTTGTACTGGCATAGCCTGAGCCAAGAAAAAAAACTTACATTGATGCAGTGTGTCCTGTTGAAGCCCACAACGTACTGCAGCTGCTTTCCAAAATTTCTTTGGCGTTTGCCGAAGTTTGTTGTGATGTGAACAAACCCGACTCTGCTGTGTAAAGCTGGGTTGCAAGAGAGACACATAGTAGTGTGCTATCCATTACAACTAGCAGTGCCAACAGACGTCGAAAGTGGGCAGCTATGGCAGCTCTAGTGATCCTCAGATTGCATTATCCTGGCTTAAAGATGAAGGCCGAAGACATGACCTGCAGCAACCTGCCTCGAATCACTGCTCCGACCCAGGATGGGTTGGGCACATCCTCTACCTCTAGATTCTGAATCAGGACATCCCATGGCCACAGACATGCCATCATATGCTTAAGAGCAGACAAGTCATGGCAGGCAAGTGGGCTCAAAACATCCACCTTGGCCATCACGTACCCTCCTGGCTGCTTGAAGACTCGATATCAAGGGTAGTTGACTCTTTCGGATGGTCAAGAATCTGCGAACACTTCATATCAAAGATGTAGGGCCAAAATGAACAGGGAAATCAGCACAGTATGCGACTTATCTAGGAAGATCTCCCTCATGCTGCAGTGCTTGGGATCAAGCGTATGTTGATCTGACCAAAGCTTGCCCCCCCGGTTGGAAGGTTCAGTAGTTGAGCGAAGGTCGCAACAAGTTTGGCTCAGAGCACGAATGGCTTTAGATTTTTCCGAAGTGACAACACGCGCAGGTGAGATCCAGCATGTCAGAGACGCCTGAGAGGAGCTTTGGCATGCCTTTCCGCATCTTCATCTTCGCTGTCGGTGTCTGCTTCGACTCCAGCTGGCGGGTGCCAGCCATGATCAGGATCAGGGTCAGGCCAAGGTTCCTGCAGCTTGAAATCCTTGGTGTCTTTCAACTCCCACTCCTCAGAAGAAGGCCAGCTGTCTGCTGGGGAGGAAACGGTGGCGCTAACGTCTACGGTACTGCCCGGAGGGGTCACGTACTTCGTGTCCTCGGCAGCCTCATAGTCAGGCTTCATAACGTCTCCAAAGATGAAATCCCGATAAGGTGCAGGAATCTGGGACCGGCTGCGTGAACCCAAAGAGTTCGTGATGTGCTGACCACCGTTCAACAGCATGGCCTCCGTCGCAGTACCATAGACCTCCACGTAATGAGGGAAGTCTCCCGGCTGAAAGAACTCCTCTGGATTCCTGAGAAGTCAAGAGAACAGGTTGTTTTTGCATCTACACTGGGTTCAGGTACGCCTAAATCCTAAGCAGGTTCAACACCAGGTAGATGTGCTGTTGACTTTAACCACCCGTGTCATCTACGCTAGGATATCACCGAGTGATGGTTTCGGTCTTCCCCTACCTAGATTCAACAATAGCCCAGCTTCCTGTAGAGCAGCTCCAACTTGTACTGTTCGCGAGTCTCACGCGTGAAAAGATGAACTTTGATGGGCCCACAATGTGCGACCACCCACTCATCATCGCGCGTTCCGTAGCAGAATGCTTCCACGAAGGGAGCCCTGCATGCCTCTTCTTGCTAATAGGGACTGCAGGAAATGGTCATGTGGGCTTACTATGCCCATGAAAAGGACTGCCGAAAGAGACTGGAATCATTTGAGAGACGCATGGGTTTGTCAATCAATGGTCCCGCTGTAAAATCCTAGTGTGGGAAGTAACACCTAGATTCACTTTAGAATGCCAACGTTTACCTGGTCCCCAAAAGACCGCCTTTTTCGCGAAACCATGCCATGCGACCCATGATTTCAATTCATGGTCTTGCAAATTTTCTCCCTGTACACCCTCAGCAATATTGAACAGTTCTATAGACACTCGCGGTACCGTATACCTTACATCCGAAGTACACCATCAAGCCCAAGCCCTAGCAAAAAATGAAATCCTACCTTGCATAAGAACTCCTATAGTCCCATGCAAACATGAAACCCTACCTTAACTAAGAATTCCTACGGTCCCATGCCTCTGTCGCTCGGGCCATGATCTGGCCAAGCCTCCGACAGTGCCGAGCTGTAATCCCTGTGGCCAGGATTGCATACATCCCAACATCTCTCCTGGTACCCAACCACAAGAAATTACTTTGGCTCATGAATTCATGAAAAAGGGCTATTTGGGGGAACGACCTGGGTTCACAGGAGGGGGGTGCCACCGAAACAATACTTTGTTTTTTTTCTTTACTGTCTTTGCACGGATTCTAGACCCTGAGCTGTCATCAAAATTACAACTGCCCTAAACCTAGGCCCTACACCTAAACCCTGGAAGTCTCTTCCTTACTAGGCCTCAGACCCTTAACCCAAGAACCCAAACCCTAAGCAATACGCCCCAATTCAGTGTCCTGCCACGTTCAGCTTGATTCCGGTCAACACCCTAAATAAAAAACTATGATCCCCAAACCCTAAAACCAAAAAACCTTCATCCTATGATCTAGGACATATTCCGTCATTAAGGGGACGGGATGGGTTCCCGTCCTAAACCAAACCCCTAAAACCCTAAACCCTAAACCCTAAGCCCTAAAGGCGTTTCAGGTCAAGCTGGTAGGGTAGTTTCCTTGACGGTCCCCTACTGCTGCCTGATAACCCGTGTGTGG